GATCTTCCAGCCATGTTCTTTAGGACATCCTCTAGATCTAAGTGCTCATGCTGCTGCTTTCAAGATTCCCAAAAAAACACTAGTGTTGACCAAGCGAATGGCAATTCAGACTGGATATCAGAAAAAGGTTCTTCACCAAGAAGGTGGTTGTAGAATCATAGAATCACCAAGGTTAAAGAAGACCTCCAAGAACATCTAGTCCAACCGTCCACTTGCCACTAGTGTGGTCAGACACTGAACAGCCTCTCCAGAGGAGTGGTCATGCCACCAAGCTTGCCAGAGTTCAAGAAACATATGGACAAGGTTCTCAGACATGTTCTGATTTTTGGCGGGTCCTGGATGGAGCCAGGAGTTGTACTTGGTGATCCATCTGAATCCTTTCCATCTTGGGATATTCTATGAATTTAAATTTTACTTATATGTATACATATCACAGTTTTTCTTCCTTAAAGAATGCTTGTTCATAGTTGCTTTTCTCTTCAACTGGAATAATGTTGCATATATTTTTTTCTGCCTTTACTTTAATCTGACCTGTTGTTGAAAGAGCAACAAGCCTCCTCTAAAAGGGCAGCCAGAAGAGCACCATAGCATGGTATGGATCGTTGCACTCCTTTTATGCAATAAAGACAGAATTTCTGTTCCTGTACCTCTGGCTCAGATGTAAGGACAAATAGACCCTAGAGCATCATGATCTTGGAACTTTATTACTGAAGTGTTGAGTATTGCTGTCCTGAAACTGAGCTGTGGCCAAATTAAGAAGGTATATATTCAATAAGCCTTTGGTTTTGGTGTCCCTGCTGTGCTATGGGAACATGGTGTACAAAGAAAGAAATGTGCGTCTGTAGTAGTTTTTTGTTAGAAAGGTGCAGGAGTTTTGGTTTCTTGCCTGTTCAGCTTAAGAATTCTTCTAGCATTTGAAGTGGTGACAGATCCCTACGGCTTGCATTTTCATTCTAATGTTCTCTCTCCTGCAGTCCTAAGGAGGTATATATTTATCAAGTTCAGATTTTACTGCACCTCTGTGAGATGAAATTATCATCAGTTATGTAATGGGAGGGAAGACAACAGAACATGGTGTGACCAGCCCTAGAGCATGGCGCAGACTTGCATCAAAAGAGGGCTGGAGTGTTTGCTCCTTAGCTTCAAAACTGTCCTTCACTGGAAGTGAAAGTCTTGCTCCAGTTTAACAACCAGTGTTACTTGTCCTGCTCATTGCCTCTGAGTTGCTCAAGAAAGAAAGGCTTTCTGAAAACACTGCGTTCATCAGCAGAGTGCTAACAGCTGTCAGCTTGTCACTTCTGGGTCCTTTGAACTCAGGCTCTGCGCATGGGGACGGCTGACATAATAAACAATTGCTCTGTGGAGCTTTAGTAATGTGAGCATTAATATTGATCCAGCACTGACTTCTCGAACAAAAATATATATATGTATCTGTTATCTTGAGAAACCTCCCAAACAGCTCTCGTCTTCTTTCATTACAGGAGAGTTATTAGGGCAGATGGCCGAGGTGATATCCATTTGACCTATAGATGCTAACTCAGGAGGAGTATCATTAATAAGCTGGTTGGAAACAGGGAGACATCACAGTAAAGAGAGTTCAAAAGCAATCTAGTGCACAAAGGATTGCCCATTGAGAAGTGCTTGGTAGCGAATGAGATGGGCAAAGGTAAAAAGGAGGCACACAGTCTTAAATGCTCATCACCAAGACAAGCAGATTGCCTTTAAAGGCTGATGCTTTCCCACATTTGGTTCATGCTCCAATGTAAATCCTTCTGAAGGAAAACAGGGCCCAAAAGCTCTTAAATATAAGACAGAGATTTCACTTTCTCTAATTAAAAAAAAAAAAAAGAAGAAAAACAAAAAAGTGCTTTATTGTGTTCTGCCATGGGCACAGCTGCACTGGCTCATGTTTGAAAGCTGCTGTCTGGCAGAAAACCAGTCCTTGCTGAGGATCAGACCATGGCCTTGTTCCAAGAGAAATTTGGGTTTCATTTGACCAAGATAGGATTCCAGATTGTCATCTGAGCATGTCTGAAAAGTGGTGAATGTGTGTCAGTAGTTAAGTGCTCGTGAGCTTCCTTAGTCCCTGGATTGTTCAGGACTGACCCAGGCAATTTTTTCCAGATGTTTGGGCGAATCTAAGTCCATATAAAAGGGATGGTAATGCTTCTGCTTCCTTACTAAGTTGTCTTTGTGGCTTGCAGGAATGTGCATGAAAGCTGGAGCCAAGATACCCCAATTTCTGGTCTCACCTCTACAAAGTGCACTTTAACCTCTTCTGCCCTTCCCTGGCATCTCCACACAAGATCATAGAAACTTCTTGGGCCCGGTGCAAACTTTACTTGGCCTTCTATAAAAAAAAATAAGCATCATTCTTTTTTGTTGCACGAAACTCCGGTTCCTGTTCTACAAACCTCCTCTGAAATTGTTTTTTTGCCTTTGATCCAGCAGCTGCTCATTTTGAACAACCCTGAGTAGGTAAAACATGAGAAGCACTTTGGGATGGGAAGGAGTTACACAAATATGAAATATTGCAGTGCCCTTTTGTGAACCGCAGTGAAACAGAGTGACTGCTGAAGCAGACACCAGGCAGAAATCTTTAGCAAAAATACTCTGATTTTTCTAGTAAACGTAATTTTTTTACTCTTAGTTGCAGTAATTTCTCTTCCACTTTATTGAATATGATGTACAGCTTTGTATCCGTGTGGTTTTTGTATGAAAATATGTTTTCAGTCTGTATGTGCAAACCCTCTCTTCCCTGATGTCTGAATTTGGCTACACTTTTTGCCTTGTGGCCAGACAGAAGACTTCTGTAAATCCCAGTTCTGATATATGCTGTTTGTTTTAAACTGTATTGCTCTTTAAAATTTAAAAGGAAAACAAACTCTCAGCAGCAAATTAGGCTGAAAAGGGTTGGGAGGGAATTGCTTGGTAGCAAGCGGTGCTGGATGACATCTGATGAATGCTAATTCTTCATCCCCAAAACAATTTTGAGCAGATGAAGGGAGCTGATTTCTGCAACAGCTTAAACAGATATTGAAATGACTTCCACGATCTGGCAGCAGACTTTTTTTCCCACATAGCAGGTGCAGGCTTGGCCCACAGTGATTTCTCAGTTATACTCTAACTTTGCTGTTTCGAAAATGTAATGTCAGTGCCCAGCCAGGCAAAACCTAACTCCCTAACATTTCTGTTTTTCACGGAAGGCTAAGACTTTATCCTCAGGCAAAGTCTCCTCTCTGGGCTGGCTGCTGTAAATCCTCTGGGCCCTGGCAAAAGCCAGAGTTGCTAGCTCATTTTACTTAATTTGTGATGCTGGCAAGATTTGTGCTGCAGCCCAGGGCTCTTGACTGAACTCTCCTAAATTGGAGCGTTGACATATTAAAGAAACCCCAGCATAGAAAACCTGAAAATAAACTCCTCAAAAATAGATATTTCAGAAAGATGCTGTTTTACAAAGCTTTAAACAGGGTTAGTGTTTGCTTCTTTAGAACCTCCTGCTCATTAAGAAGTTGGGTTTTATCTGCTGTCGTGATAAATGTTTTTCATCACATGTTTCGTTTGAGAACCTTAGGGCACTTGATATCTTTCTGCTGGACAAAATTCACCCATTTTTGCAGGTGGGTTAACACGGCCACAGGGTGAGGTGAGTTGAGGTTGTCTGCATAGGAATGTAACCAGCATGGATGTAATGACGTAATTACAAGCAATGTAAATGTGTCAGTTTAACTCCCGTGCGGACGTTCTTATTCCAGACCTAGAATCCTTTTTCCTGCTTAAATAATTCCATTTTAAAAGTGAGGAAGTGTAGCCAAGAGGATAAAGTGCTTGGCTGTGGTTCAGGAGATCAGAGGTTCTCATTCTCAAACTTGCCATGGATTTTCTGGGAGATATTGAGTGAATTTTCTCCCTTCTCTGCACTCTAATGTGACACATGTGATACTGAAGATGGTGATATATGTAGGAAAAATTGAGTAATTGCAATTGAAAAACAAAATAATTTATCAAAAGCAGAGCAACCATACATGAGATGTCCACGCTGGCTTTAAATAGTGCCTGATGTTCATAACTGTTCATGTTTCGGGATTTGTTTTATTTTCAAAAGTTGGCTTTTTTGGTCCCATAGCCTGAGTGCCCACTTGCAACTCAAGCATTAGGTGTATTCCTCTGGCAGTATATCTTTCATTTTGCTTTCAGTAAAGCAGGAAACCAGTTTAGTTCTCCAGAATTGCTCCATGATGCAAAAAGACACCAGTAAGCAGTGTGATGGGGAGATGAATTTCAAAGGTGTGCTCCTGATCCAAACCAGCACACACACACACAGTGATGCAGGGGTGTTCCCATGTAATCATAACAGCTAATGTCCACATACAGCAAGCTCCTAAGATGAATCAGAAACAGATCCTGGCAGTTGAGCAAAACTCAGTCCGCTGCTTCATCCTTCAGGCTGCCTGCTTCAAGAAAAACAAATCCACTTTAGGAAGACATCTTCCTGGTAGTTAATCCGCCATCAAAATTCTGTGATATTTAAACAAGACAGCTAATTCCAGTGGATTTTACTTAAATGTACACTTCACAGTCCATTTGTTAAAGCAAAAAACAAAAGAACACTTTGACTTCTCTTCCATAGATTAAAATGGACCAAGCACATTCACGTAATTGAAACTGATGCAGTAAGAAATAATCAGGACATTTTTATATGTTACCTGCTCCAGAAAGTCTACCAGATGAGTGAGGTCTACCTACATGTCTTTTGCTCATGTGTTTGATGTTACACTGGAATGGGGGGGACCTTCCAGTTGTGACAGTGGATGATACAAGCCAGAAGTAGCTCCTGACTTGTCTTTCAAGTAGACTGGTATGAAGTGCTTTTATGGACAATTAATGTAAGAGGTAACGTATGAAGGCTAACATGCACATGAACTTTTGATGCTTATTTGTTTCTGTAAAATGCATTTTGAATTATCACTAATGCTTTTTTAAAATTCTCTTTGTTACAGAAGAGGAAGAGGAACAAGTACCAACTGATGGAGGTACATCTGCGGAGGCCATGCAGGTGCCACTGGAAGAAGAGGGAGATATGGAAGAGGACGAGGCAATTAATGATGAAAATTACTTGAGCAAGAGACCGTTAGAAAGTCCTGATGCTGAAGAATTTCCACCCATGAAACGACCAAAACTATCTGTTTCTAAAGGAGATGCTCTGGATGGAGCTTTGGAACCACGTGAGCCTCTTAGCTCAATAAACACTCAAAAAGTACCTCCAATGCTTTCTCCAGTTCATGTTCAGGACAGTACAGACTTAGCCCCTCCTTCACCAGAACCACCGATGTTGGCTCCTATTGCAAAATCACAAGTGCCAACTCCCAAGACATTAGAGTCAAAGCCACTTGCACCCAAGACAAAGTCCAAAACAAGTTCTCCAGGACAAAAGACAAAATCACCTAAAACTACTCCCTCACCAGTGGTTGCTGGAAGTCCCATACGTTCACCAAAAACTGGATCCAAAGAAAAAAAGTCACCAGGTCGCGCCAAGAGCCCAAAAAGTCCCAAAAGTCCAAAGGCTCCTGTTCATGTTCCCCCACCACCTGTTAAGCCTGAAACACCAAGTAGAACCCCTCTGGCTGCGTTAAGTGACAAAATAGGAAAGGAAAACATTCAAGTAAAACAAGGACAGACACCACCTGAGCCTGTGACCAAGCCAAATATTGAAAACCAGAATAAGAAATTACCAGTGATGGACAAGACTATTGATGATTCAATAGATGCTGTGATTGCGCGTGCATGTGCTGAACGAGAACCCGATCCCTTTGAGTTTTCCTCTGGTTCTGAGTCAGAAGGGGAAATTTTTACCAGTCCAAAAAGACTTTCTGTTTCGGAGACTATGGCTACAACTCCTAAACCTTCTGTTTCTGCTAATTGTTCTAATAAGGCAGGAGCAACTCCGGTACCTCCATCAGGTGGGACTTCGAGTTCAGACATTTCATGGACAATGGATGACTCAATTGATGAGGTCATTCGAAAGGCAAACATGGGAACGCCTTCTAATCCACCTGCGAACTTCACTTACTTCTCTTCTCCTTCTGCTTCACCGCCAACTCCAGAACCTCTTCTCAAAGTCTATGAGGAGAAAACCAAGTTGGCTTCATCTGTAGAAGTGAAAAAGAAACTGAAGAAAGAGCTGAAGACAAAAATGAAGAAGAAAGAGAAACAAAAGGAAAAAGATAAAGAGAAAAACAAAGAGAAAAACAAGGAGAAGGAAAAGAACAAGGAGAAGGACAAAGACAAGGAAGCAAACAAGGAGGCAAAGTTTCAGTGGAAGGAACTTCTCAAAGATGATGAACATGATCCCTATAAATTCAAACTAAAAGACTTTGAGGATGCTGACACAAAAGTAAAGTTGAAAGATGGCAATACCAAAAAAGAGAAAGAAAAACATAAAGATAAGAAGAAAGAGAAGGAGAAAGGCAAAAAAGACAAGGATAAGAAAGACAAAGAGAAAGTTAAAGATAAGAGTAAGGAAGATAAGATAAAGCCTCCATCAGCACCTCTTGTGTTACCTCCCAAAGAAATGTCTTTGCCCTTGTTCAGCACACCAACTGCCATGAGGCTTCCCAGCATGTTACCTTCCTTGTCTCCTATGCTTCCTGAAAAGTTGTTTGAGGACAAAGAAAAACCAAAAGAGAAGAAGAAAGACAAAAAAGAGAAGAAGAAAAAGAAAGAAAGGGAGAAAGACAAAGAAAAGGAAAAGAAGGATAAGGAAAAGGAGAGGAAGGAAAGAGAGAAGAAGGAGAAAGAAAAAGAGAAACATAAACATGAAAAGGTAAGTTGTTTAAAAGAGTTGAGATGGCATACTTGTTTGAAAAGTGCACAATTTGCTGCTGAGAAGTGTATCTGATTACATAAGGTATGTGACCACAGACTTGATACACTTTAAAACAAACAAACAAGGAAAAAAAAAAAACAGCTCAAAGTATGAAGTACCCCAGAAATTTCAGGTATTGCCCCACTTCTTTGGAAGGCAAAAGAATGGAAGCTCAGTTTTGTGAATTCAAAATATGAGATTGTCTTGCCTTGGTTTTGGTTTGATTTGGTTTGATTTGGTTTTGCTTGAGATTTCTGGTTTTCCTCAACTCACTTTTTGCTTTGAAAAGCCAAGACTTACACTCACTGGCAAGTTCTGGTTGTGCAGAGCAAATGTATGCTCTGTTGCAATGCCCAAATTTTGTTCTGTAGATATTCTCTAGTAGGGCCAACAGCCTTTCATATAAAATTCAAATTTAGTTTCTAGAAGTCTACTGTTTCAAAGCTTCTAGAAGACCATAGGTGACCAGATGGCCATAAATGAGGAACAGACCACCCCAGAATAAGTCATTATTTGTATATCATTAGAGCTACTGAATCCTCTGTTAGGAAGACCACAGAGTTTGTGCTTCAGTTAGATGGAAGTAAGAAAATTGTTGTCAACGTGTAGTCTAAATGCATACTCTGAATGTTCAAATATCACCTTTCATTTAGAGTTTCAAGCTTGAGATGAAGAAGGGAGACCTGACTTTCAAATGGACTGAGCTGCTACTTCTCCTGTAGCTCTTACTGATTTATATCAGCCAAAGACAGTTCCTTCTTTCCAGTATCACCTAATCTTGAGAATATCTTTAATATATAAAAGAATAAAACCAGCATATTTGCATGTTATCCGATTTAAAATCCCATTAGAAATGACTTCCCTAATTCAAGGTTTGCTGTACTTTTTGTCACTTAAAACTTATATTGTGCATTAAATTGTTAATATATATAAAAAAAAAAAAAAAGCAGAAAAGAGATTGTCTTGGATACTGATAACCTTGGATGCAGGATTTCCTTAATCTCTATCCTTAGCATTAGGAAGCATTGCTTACGTTCTGGTTTTACAAAGATTCTCTTTACGTCCTGCTTTGAGTGTAATACACACTTTGTACTAGCTCAGATGTGGGATATTCTTTGCTATCCATTTTTGATGCTGTGAGAGACGGTACCCTGGTGTGCTACCTGGCAGATTTAAAACAAACTGCTGATTTCAAAACTTACACCAGTTTTTTAAGTTGGAAAATGGATTTTCAATGCAGAATCCAGGTGATCTGGAAAACTAACATTTGTCTGCCATGGATGAATCAGTGATTGACAGGGTGGTGTTCCAGCTGTCCCTGTTAATTTAATGTCTGAGTTTTAGCTTGCAGCAAAGCTGCTGCATGGACTCCTCCTTTTGTCTACATGGCAGCTTTCTCCCTGCCCCTCATGCTCGAGGCATTTTGTCAGTATCTCACTGAGAATTTCTGCAGACATTTCTCTTTAAGTTAAGTACACATATATAAAATAGAGGTAAGTTGCTTGTCTTTCGTATATTTTGCATTTCTTCCCCAAATCTCTCTATCTAATTTGTTTTAGAGCAATATAAAAGCTACACAAACAAATATAAACTGGTAAAGCTTCAATAGAGACCGAACATGTATGTATTAGGAAAAGGAGTCCAACAGCAATAAAAACTTGGACAAATTAAATTGACAAAGCTGCCCATTACCTTGGCAAAAAGTCCCTGTCAAAAGATAAACTTTAAAGCTAGAATGCATGAAAGAGTCCCCAGATAGAATTAAAATTTAAACTGATTCTTGATAGATAAGCTTTTTTAAAATCCACCTCTTTGCTGCAAGTCGTCAGGATTTTAAAAATAAATTTCCCCTTTAAATCTCTTGAGCGATTTTCATTTTTTGCAAGGCCGCACTGCTGGTGTCCTGGAAAAATGGAGAGTTAGAGCTTTATCAGTTGGTGCCCTGAGGTATGTGGCAAAGAAGCTAAATCCTTGAAGATTAGCAAAAAAAATGCAGCACATGGCAATAAGGGGCTTATATGACTACTAGTATTAGTTCAGGTGAAAGAAGTATTGCTTATACATAAAACTGGACAAATCCACTGACAATGTATTTTTAGTTAGCTACAAAGGAGTCTTATATTGCTGGACTTTACCTCTTTGGTGATTTGGGAAGCTTAGTAATCCACTGTAAATGCTCTTCTGCTGGCCCCAATTCCCAGTATTACTCCAGAATGCTGCTCTTTCATTTTAACCCCTAAAAGTACATGTTTCCTTAATTTAGCTTTTAGTTCACACAATGACTTATTTAGCCAGCAGTCGTGCTGTAGGAGCAAATGATCAAGTTACTGCTCGGACGCTGAGCTTTGGAGGCAGAAGCACAACCTTTAAGGTTGGATTTGTGAACTGACAGCAGCTGATGGCCATTACAAAATCTCAGTCATTACATAACTCAGTCCTTGACAAGTAGTGGTATTCTTAAACAAAAGATCTAACTCTGTGTAAGAATCCATGGTAACATTTCTGTATATTTTTTGTGTAGTTACAGTTACTATGTAAGCATGCCTGCCATCCTGTTGGGGAATTTAAGCATATTGCAGAGTTTTCCCTGTAATTTTGTCCCAGCCTGCTGGTTAGGAAGGCTCAGAGCAGCTCCAAATACTGTACTGAAAATAGGCTGTGTGCTGCAAGAGGTCAGGCTGATGGCTGAGGAAGAGGAAATTTGGGCAAAGCTTGCAGAAGAGCCTAGGAGCAAGGGTGCTGTCTTGCATGCATTACCAAATTAAAAGCAGACAATTGAAGCAATTACACCCTGCTTATATGATGGAGATTATCGGGCACGCTGTAGGAATGACTGAGCAGCTCGTGAGGCAGCTGCTGACCCAGTTCCAGCTAAACTTAATACTCTGAGCTGTAAACTAAAGTAGTCGAGGAACTGCTGTGTGAGGAATGGAGCTATCGTAGCATCAAGACAGAGCTTGCCAGTGCTGTCCCCAAATAAACTCCTCTTACTTGCAAGTAAAAATCCTACTGATGTAGAGCATGGCCACAGTATCCACAGTGCACTTATCAGTGCTCTTTAATTTGCCCTTTGCTCCAACCATGCAAACCCTTCCTCTCCTCTTGTATCAAAAGATAACAGTTTGGATTGTTTTGGAGCACAGTTTTCTCTCAAAGCAGACAATGTTAGTATCTGACATAAGAAAGTCCTTTACGTGCTTTTCCTCTGCCACCATTGCTTAGAACCTCTTCCTGATATGCAAGTAGTAATGTAAAGATCTTAATACAGAGGACTGATGAGGTGGGTGTCTCTCAGTGCCCAGCAGCAGTGCCTGTCCTAGGAAGTTTCATGTTTGGAATAGCCATGACAGAAAAGGATGTGGAGAAACCTATGAGACAGTACATAATCAGTACACAAAGCCACATATCTGAGCCTCCTGTACCCAGGATTCAATTCCTGTGGGTGATGCTACAGTTTAAAGTGCCAGGAAAGCAGTTAAAAGGCTTACCTATGGAAAGTAGCAGTGAAATCATTCCAGCCGTTTGGAGCTCCAGAGGAAAAAACTTGCAGCACTGCAGGGGAATTACATCACAAAAAATTGTGCTGTGTAAACAAAAGAGTGGAGGGTAGAGTAGCCTGTGAAGCAGGGTAATACGTATCCATGGAGTGCTCTTAGAGTAACTCCAAGTCCCAACTGAGTCCTTCCACTTTGGCCTTCTGTCTCCTCAATGCTTTCTGTGCTTTGAATTGATTGTGTCTTTCCTTTCTTTAGGAAAGCACTTTAAAACAGATTCTTCCCAGTGAGAATTGCTCAGGTTTCCATTTAGTGTACACGTACTATTTTTGTCTCTCAAGTTCTTGGACCAGATCACTCTACATTCTTATTTCATTAAATACAATGATGCATGTGCTCAAAATGAGATCAATCTCCCTCTCTCTTTATGTATAATGTTTATACACTTCTCATGTATCTGTGTATAAGTTGAGCAACTCATATATAAAAAATCATTAGTTTCACACATAAAATCTGAGAGGGTGTTGCAAAGCAGTGTTGCAAAGCAGTGGCTTCATTTAGCTCAATGGAAGTCAGTAATTATGGCAGACATTAATTCCAAGTGTTTAAGGACATCTGAAGTCTGAATCTACCAAGGCAGGAAATCAGACCATCTGATTTCCATCCGAAAAATAGCCATTAGAAACCTAACCTGCATTCCATTAAAAATCAGTGATTCTGTTATACCTGTAACACTTTGTGAAGCATTCAGAGCTGATGCTAGAGGTTCATTTGCTTCCTCTTTGTCTAATTTTGATTAAAGAGTCATTTATGTGGTGAATCTGGGTACTAACTGCTTGAATGTGTATCTCAGGAAAAAAAATGTGCATACACCTGTCAAGCTTAAACACTAAGGTCAAAGCATTTCATGTCATTGTTAACTGATTTTTTTGTCTCTCTAAATAAATATTAAATCAGGAAGACTTCTTAACAAAGTGTGTGAGCTGTTACAAACACGGTGAAATTTCAATATAACTTTTTAGTCTAGAATTCCTATTTCTGTGTTGCTCCCCACAAGGTGTAACCATCCACACTGCAGCACGAAGCGTGAGAACAGTGATCAGTCAGTCATAAGTCTGCCTCATTGAGCTGGTATACTCTGGTTAACTCTATCAGTGCTTTCATGTAATTAATATTCTTTGGGAATCTCTTTACAGTCTTTGATTGGTGATTTTATTCCCTTGCACAGATAAAGGTGGAACCAGTTGTTCCAGCTCCATCACCAGTTATTCCTCGGCTGACACTAAGAGTGGGTGCAGGCCAAGACAAGATGTAAGTACAAAATAAGCCATCAACAATATGCCTTTCACAGTTCTTCATCTCTGGTGTGTAGCAGCTCTTACTTTCAGTTGGAAACGCTTTAATGTTAGTGGTAAATAATATTCATACAGCCATGACCAGATTGGATGGTATCCTGGGCATCCTCATCTACTGGTTGGCAGCCCTGCCCATGGCAGAGGAGTTGGAGCTAGATGATGCCCTTCAGAGTGATCCATTCTATCATTCTTTGATGTCTTTTGACCATTCTGATGAAAACTCAAGCAGAACACTTACCAATAGAAACCTTTTAAATATTTTTCCCTTTTTGTTCTGCTCTGCAAGTGGAACCTGTCATCTTCCATTCATCCTACTGTGTTTCCCAGTAAAAATTAGAAGACTCCATCAAGACTCACATGCTGCCTTCAGTGACATTCAGCCAGGCTTCCATAATGGCTAGGTATCTCTAGTGTAACCTACAGCTCAGTTTCATAATGCATTTCAACTAACAGTTGTTTCATGCTTTAAAACATAACAGTTGAAATGCCTTCATACATATCTATTTTATTATAATTGTTGATTATTTCTGAATGTACCTAACACACTTTAAATGTTTGTTCATTAGCTCCTTAATTATTGGGTGTTGTCATACAAATAATAGTTACTTAGTACTTGATGACCATAAGTAGGTTGATCCCTATGCTCAGATTGTACAGCCGCCTGCTTATGGTGTAGAGGCTGAGGAAATGAAGCATCACTGGGCTTTATAGGCTGCTCCTGCCTTGTGTTTTTCTTTAATTGGGTTTTTCAATGTTTTTTTAATTGTGCAGAGTACACTTTTATGTCTGATGGCAAACATGAGCACCAAACAGATTTTTCATTTTCATTCATCCCATTAAATATTGCTAATCTAATTGCTTCTCTTTTAAAGTCATTCAGAATTAAACCTTCTAATCACTAACTTTCCTGTTTTTTAAGTTGAGTGGCATCTTTGATGATTATTCAGTTTTTCTCTGCTATCCTATTCCCCTGTCTTGCCCAGTAGATAATTTGTGAGTTATACTGATGCAAAATAGCTGTGGGACTTCTTAGTTTCTATGAGAAACCACCCCAAATATCAGGACTTATGCCTGTTCTCTCTGTGCACATTAACCATTCCTGTTTTTTCCCTTTCACAATATCTGAGTATGATCTAAAATTTCTGTGCTCAGTCTGTATGAAAGATCCTGCTTTTCAGAAGTTATCTGTCCTGCATTTAAAGCCTGTAAATCCATTTTCCTTCTTGAGGAGCTATGGATACTTTCAAACTTTTTTATTCAAGGGTTGTGAAAGTATTTATATCAGGAAAAAAATCGTATTTTCAAGGCAGAACTTTTGAATTATGGCTCTGAAGCCATATTTTTACACCAAAAAGCTCATTTTGCACCCACTCTTATCTCTCCTCCATCATTCTCACACCCACACACATTTTGAAAAGAGATCTCATACTTCATCTGCTTGCTGCAAATAGTATGTGTACATCATTTTCAGCCGTGTCAGCCTGCAGTGGGTCAGAGATACTGACATCTAGGTTTTTGGCTTTTTGGAAAACCCATTTCAGTTTCCGTTTCCTGTATACATCTTTACTGGCATAGAAAGGAAATTCCGTCTCCTCCACTTGACACTTGTCCTTGCTATTGCTTTAGGCTACGTAGCCAAATGAGTCTTCAGTCTTCAGTATTCTGTCTCTATTTGCTTACTTGTTTCCCTTTCCTACCTTAAATATCTCCCCTCTATGCCTACTATATGGGGCCCCTTAACATTATCTGAGTGTGATGGCTGTATCACCCACTTGCATCTTCTAAACAATGGTAATCAAGAACTGTTGGAGCTTTGTTGGAGCTTTTAGGATTTGTCATAGTTTTCCCAGGCCAAAATTTCCAGGAACAGATTTGCTGAAGCAGAAGCAAACACAGTTTATACCACGAGGCTCTGCGTCTGGGGATTGCTAGGTGTTGAACATTGATCCAGTGTCTAATGAGCTTTCATGGGAGCTCTCCTACTCTAGATAATCTTTTTGCTTTCATCCTAAACAATTAATAGTTAGCCTGGACTCAGAGTATGATTTTATATATGGTGATCATTATTAGAAGTGATCATTTATGTGAAACTCTGAGACAAAGCATTGCATTTGTGGCTTGGGCTGCTGAAGTAATACCAGAAACCTCTGCTGCTTGGATTTAAAGTTACTAGTTGCCCGACCACAGTAGATTCATAGCTGGTAAGGGACAGAAACAAGAGCTATGTTTTTGTGATACGTTATACTAAGAGAAAGTTAAACTTACATTTCATTTGTGTTGATGATGAATATCAGGTAGTTGTGTGTCAATTGAGATGTCTCTGGAGTTTATACTAGCATGAAATTATTTTAAATTACTGTGAATGGCCATAGAAATTTGGCAGAATCTAAGTTTTTTTAGGATTGATAGGAAACGATGAATAAAAACTAGATAGACTGATGAATTCTTTCAGTTCCCTTTGTTAGAAGAAAAAGCTGTTGGGAGGGTTTAGGAGCTACTTAAATACCTGTTCAGTTGGAAGTTGGTCACTCTTGGGGAACTTCATGCAAAAGATTGTACTTAGAGATCTTGGTGAGTCCAAAAAGTATATCATTGAATGGTAGAATCATTTAGGTTGGAAAAGACTATGAAGGTCATCAAATCTAACCATCACCTAATGCTACCAAGACCGACTCTAAACTATGCCCCATAGTGCTACATCTGCTTCTCTTAACTACCTCCAGGGATGGGTACTCCACCACTTCCCTGGGCAGCCTGATCCAATGCCTGACCATCCTTTGCATGAAGATATTCTTCCTAATATCAAGTATCTGAAGAAAAGAGGTCAGATTGAATGGCATTTAACATGGAAATTCAGATCTCTACTGATGGCAGCACAAGTTTAAATACTGCAGTGCTGAGGAAAATGATGTTGCAGTGGAGCAATTTCCAGTTATGTTGCTTCTGAGCTCCTCTGCTTGGACCAGCGTACCAAGCAATGCTGATTGTGGCAAAGGAGTCTCCTTCACTGTTTTTTCTATGAATACAAGTACATTCTGGCCACTCAAGCTTGTCCAGCATGCAAGTATTCTTCCAACACACATCAGTTCAAAAGAGATAGCTATTAGTAATGTCAGCTTAATAGACATGAAAATGTAGCTGTTCCTTTAGAGGAACCAATATAGGAAAAAAATGTTACAGTTCAGTGTTTTTTGGGGGGAGTATTTTAACTGTGCAGTAAAACAAGAAGAAAGTAGATTATAATCAAAGCATTTCCATCTTAGTTGTAAACAATTACAGCAATACTTGCATGGATGCCACATTAGAAGAAATTTACTGGATTCCATTCTAATGCAATTAGAGCTAATTTTGTTCTTTAAATGAATAAAGGGTCAGCTAGTAAATCTAGTTTATCTCAAGTCCAGGCTCCAATAAATTGTTTTATTTAATTTGTTGTAAAAGATCTTATCCTTAATGGGCCTAACTCTTATTAGTTTGCTTGGGTTCTAAAATATTTATGACCACCTTTTTAGATATGATTTGAATGATACGTTGGAAGGGTTTTTCACTGTTTTTTTCCACTCCAGTGTTATCAGGGTAGAAGATTGCTAACTGAGTTAGTATAGGAAGGAACTGGAGATGCTATCTTTTTTTAAGAAAAAAAAATTAAAAAGCACAAAGCTACTATAGATGTTTCAATTTAAAATCATCTGCAAATGATGAGCAGAATTCTTTTATTCAGTTGCATCATGGTTTCTTTTTGTCTAGTTATTTTTCCTAAGCATAAATCGTACATAACTTCTAAAAACTTTCACACACACAGGTTTCATACACATAAGTTTTTTAAAAGCATATCTATTGATGGGGTACTGACATTCCAGTTACTGCAACAGTTGATGTAAACTTAAGCAAAAATATGTGCTGTAATTTCTGATACTTCAGATAAATTCTACATTGAAATATGATTTCTAAGTAAAAACACATGACTTTTGACAACATCAGACCACAAAGCAGAGTGCCATTCGTTAGTCATTGTTTCAGGGCTTCTGTGCCTATATATATATGTACACACGGATGCAAATACATATATATGCATTTATATAGAGAGAGGGAAGTGTATATATATACGTTTGTGAAATCAAGTTTCTGAACTTAATACTGAAATATCAGGCTTTTCCTCCAGACTCTGACTGCATTGTATCATAGCTCTGCAATCAGCAGAGAACCTGGAAAGCAGAATAGGGAAAAGATAGGTATTTTAACAGTGTTTAACTTGCAAATCTGGCCTGCTGCTCTTAATAAATTGCCTCTTGTCTTGCATATTTTTAATATGTAGCATATATATAACCTTTTCCAAAAAATTGCACACACACACAGATATGCGTGTCTATAGAAATGTGTATTAAATAACTTGTGGACTTGAAAATAAACTCCTAAAGGGATTAAGAGAGAGAAGCTTTTTATCCATATATTTAATTGACTCCACTAAAGGTTTTTATCACTTGCTAGGATGTTATCAGTCCAAGGTCTAACTTAGGCTCTTTTGGAGGCTCACTCAATGGCACGATATTCCCGTGACAGCAGTGCCACTAACGTAACCAGCAGACATCCTTTGTAGAACATCTGAAAGCCAAGTGGCAATATAGACCATATGTTTTTGTGAGCACGGGTGTGATCTCTCTGTATGATATTGGTGACCCAGAAGTATTTTTTGGGAACTAAGAGGAAAGCCTGTCCTGTCGTTTTGTGTTTTGTTACACCGAGTCTCTGTGATTGATCCATCTGAGGACTTCCACCAAAATAAAGTGCAAAAATAATGCATATTTTAATAAGTTGGCAAAATGATACGTGTCTGACGAAGTGGGAGCCTGAAGGAAAATGCAGCTTTAGAAAATGGCATGATGCTGATGCTATAACCCTACTTGAAACACAGCTGAACTGCTGGCAGTACTTATTTTTCATACATTGGTAGCTTGG